CCAACCAACTACCAGCACACCACCAGCCATGTGAGCAAGGCCATCTTGGACCATCCAGCCCCAGGTGAGCCACCAGATGACCATAACCACGTGAATGACCCAGGCAAGATCAGCAGAACTGGATCATCCACCCTATAGACCAGGGATCAGCAAGCTACAGACCATGGGCCAAATCCACCCCACCACCTGTTTTCGTCAGGCCCAAAGCCTAAGAATAGTTTTTACATTTTTCAACGTCAAAAAAAAAATCAAAAATAAAATAACATTTCGTGACACGTGAAAATTACATCAAATTCGAATTTCAGAGTCCATAAATGAAGTTTTATGGGAAAATGTTCATTTATTTATTGCCCAGGCCTGCTGCATGCTACAAAGCAGAGGTGAGTGGTTGCCATGGAAACCGTATGGCCCACAAAGCCTAACCGATCTACTATCTGTCCCTTTACAGAAAAAGTTTACTGGCCCCTGCTGCGGACTGTCATTGGACTAACCTTTAAACATCTTTTTTATTGTATTCACTCCAAAACCTTTGAAGACTTCTCTCCTCCCTCAAAGGGGTGAAACTTTGTTGGTCTGACTCCCCCCGTCCCTAGGCAGACCCCAGGAGTTCGCGACCTAAATTCGTGTCCTATGACACTCTATCAGGTATTCTCCATTCTGGGCCAACTGGTCTCTAGCTGCCCCATGAAGATAGGAAAATGCCTTCATGTGGTTTCTTGTTCTTGCCCAGCAAGCTCTCCCCAACTGCTGTAATCTAAACCCTCCCCACCCTCCACTCCATGCAAGGTCCCCAGCTCCCCAACCAAGAAAGCTTTCCTAACTGCTTTGCCAAATGTCTCCCCGGGTGTATTCCATGGAACATCAATCCTGAGAGATATCCTTGGGAAAAAAGGAAACACTGCAGACTCTACTTTCTCTTGGAGGCACAATGCACATATATGCCATATTAAAGGCTCTGAGAAGTCCTGCAGTAAACATGTCTGTTTCCCTTTGCTTAACTCCACCTTTCCCAAACGCATTAACCATGGAATTCATTTTGTCCACAGAATACTTATTGACCACCAGCATCTAGTACAATGCCTGAATTTCAGCATTTGTTGAAAGAATGAAAAATGCTAACACCCCACAGAACTAGGGCTCCACAGAACATACTTTGGAAATGCTGTTCAAGCTCTTGCTTCTCTCCCTCTGATCTGAGCTGTTCCCTTCCATGGCATCTATTCCACACCAGGTAATGCTAATCATCATGATCATCATAGCTATCATTTATTTAGCACCTGCAGGCACTCTGCTGGAGATAGCGCTAGACTCTTGAAAACGTCATCTCTTCTAATCTTCACCATCGTTGAGGTAGGTAACATTATTCTATCATTGCCATTTTGCCAAAAATTAAACCATAGGTCAGAAAATTTAAGTCACTAGCCCAAGATGAAGTAAGCAGAAAAGCTAGAATTCAAAACTACATCGGTGTAACTCCAAAGCTCATGATTGTTCTTCTCTGCCAACATATTTCCTGATAACATATTGTGGCCAACCTGCGGGTGTCCACCCAATATCCCTTCATGCCTTCTTCCAGGCCAGCAGAACCCTGATTGCGTATGGAGTGGCAACAGGTCAACCCAGGCGATGGATCATGACCCACGTAAACCAATCACGATGGTGTTTCCACTGCGCCACCTCCCAGCCTTACAGCTTGGATGAGCCATCTGACCCAGTTCCGGCCAAGAAGACATAACTAAACATCATCTGTGGGGTAGGGAGAAGGAGGAGAAGCCAAACAAAGATAGGAACCCTTTATTCCTTCACACTCACCTGGGCCCCTCCTTCCTGCCCTGAAACTGGGTGTAATGGTGAAAGTTTCAGGAGCCATCTTGCAACCATAAGGAAGAGGCCATCAGAATTCGCAAAGACATCAGCCCTGATATTATTAACTTCCTGAGCCAACTCAGCAGCTAAATACCTCCAGACCTCTTGCTACATGAGAAAAAGAAACCACTATTTGCTTAGCCACTGTGGATGGATTTACCATTTCACGCAGCTGAACACATTCCTAATGGCCCCACACTGTTTGGACTGTGCTGTCTCCCATGTTATTCACTGTTTGGACTTTCTCATTATTTCACACATATATATTATTAGCCTTGTCTCCCTAACCACGAAGTATGTTTCTTGAAGGCTAAGTCCATGATGTATATTCTTGTTTCTACGGGGGTATATGCATGATACTAAATTTTGCTTATTATCAAGGTTTTTAGGGATGGTCTGTTCAATTTACTACTTTCTTTAGCATTTGTGAGCAGAGAGTTGTCACCATCAAATAGCTGAACCATGCCATCCATCCCCTAATAGATTAGTATTTCTCAAAGTGTCAATATGAAAACACGCATCAGAAACACCGTGACTGTTTATTAAACGCAGATTCCTGGGCCCCCATCCAATCCCAACTGAATTAGAACCTCCGGCGTTAGAGACCGAGAATGTGCATTTTTAATAAGCTCTCCTGGGTGGTTTTGATATGCAAAATTTGACAACCTCTGGGATAAAAAATCCTGTGGGGGCCGGCCCGGTGGCGCAAGCGGTTAAGTGCACACGTTCCGCTGCGGCGGCCCGGGGTTCGCCGGTTCGGATCCCGGGTGCGCACCGACGCACCGCTTGTTAAGCCATGCTGTGGCAGTGTCCCATATAAAATAGAGGAAGATGGGCATGGATGTTAGCCCAGGGCCAGTCTTCCTCA